CCGGGTTCAAGTGATTCTCCTGCCTCACCCTCCTGAGTAACTGGGATTACAGCTGTGTGCCACCACGCCCAGCTAATTTTTGTATTTTTAGAAGAGACAGGGTTTCACCATGTTGGTCAGGCTGGTCTTGAACTCCTGACCTCAGGTGATCTGCCCACCTTGGCCTCCCAAAGTGCTGGGATTACAGGCGTGAGCCACCACGCCCAGCATATTTGTAGTTTTTAGAGGGACCTCAATACTGTTTTCCGTAGTGGCTGTACTAGTTTGCATTTGCACCACCAGTGTATGAGTTCCCTTTTCTTGTATTTTGTTGGTTTTTTTTTTTTTTTGAGACAGTTTCATTCTCGTCACCCAGGCTGGAGTGTAATGGTGCCATCTTGGCGCACCGCAACCTCCGACTCCCAGGTTCAAGCAATTCGCTTGCCTCAGCCTCCTAAGTAGCTGGGATTACAGGCCTGCGCCACCACACCTGGCTAATTTTGTATTTTTAGTAGTGATGGGGTTTCTCCATGTTGGTCAGGCTGGTCTCGAACTCCCGAGCTCAGGTGATCGCCTGCCTTAGCCTCCCAAAGTGCTGGGATTACAGGCGTGAGCCACCACGCCCAGCCTTTTTTTTTTTTTTCTAGAGACGGGGTCTTGCTCTGTTGCCCACGCTGGAGTGCAGTGGCGTGATCCTGGCTCACTACAACCTCCATCTCCTAGGTTCAAGCAATTCTCCTGCCTCAGTCTCCTGAGTAGCTGGGATTATAGGCGCACACCACCTCGCCTGGCTAATTTTTGCATTTTTAGTAGAGACAGGGTTTCAGCACGTTGTTCTCGAACTCCTGACCTCGTGATCCACCCAGCTCAGCCTTCCAAAGTGCTGGGATTACAGGTGTGAGCCACCGCGCCCGACCATGAGTTCCCTTTTCTCTGCATCCTTGCCAGCATCTGTTTTTGTCTTTTTAATAATTATCCTAAACGGGGAGAGGTGATACCTCATTGCGGTTTTGATTTGCATTTCCCAGATAGTGATGAGTGTGTTTTAATATATTTGTTGGCCGGGCGCGGTGGCTCAAGCCTGTAATCCCAGCACTTTGGGAGGCCGAGGCGGGTGGATCACAAGGTCAGGAGATCGAGACTATCCTGGCTAACATGGTGAAACCCCGTCTCTACTAAAAATACAAAAAACTAGCCGGGCGTGGTGGCGGGCGCCTGTAGTCTCAGCTACTTGGGAGGCTGAGGCGGGAGAATGGCGTGAACCCGGGAGGCGGAGCTTGCAGTGAGCCGAGATCACGCCACTGCACTCCAGCCTGGGAGACACAACGAGACTCCGTCTCAAAAAAAAAAAAAAATATATATATATATATATATGTATATATATTTGTTGACCATTTGTATGTGCTTTTGAAAAATGCCTATTCAAGTCGTTTGACATTTTTAAATTGGATTGTTTGAGGGTTTCTTTGCTGTTGAAATATTTCAGTTGCTTGTGTATTGTATTCTGGCTTTAATTAATTAATTAATTAATTAATTATTTTGAGACGGAGTTGCTCTGTTGTCCACACTGGAGTGCAGTGGCACGATTTCAGCTCACTGCAACTACTGCCTCCCGGGTTCAAGCAATTCTCCTGCCTCAGCCTCCTGAGTAGCTCATATTACAGGTGTGCGCCACCACACCCAGCTAATTTTTGTATTTTTAGTAGAGACGGATTTTTGCTATGTTGGTTAGGCTGGTCTCAAACTCCTGACCTCAAGTGATGTGACCACCTTGGGCTCCCAAAGTGCTGGGATTACAGGCATGGCCACTGCATCTGGCCTCTTTCTTGATTCTTGACATTTTCCTTACACTGTCACTGAGTGGATTCTACGTCAGAAAAAGATGAACAGGCCAGGTGTAGTGGCTGAATCCTATAATGCCAGCATTTAGGGAGGCCGAGGTGGGAGGATTGCTTGAACTCAGGAGTTTGATACCAGCCTGAGCAACATGGCAAAACCGCATCTCTACAGAAAATACAAAAATTAGCCGGGTGTAGTGGTGCACGCCTATAGTCCCAATTACTCCTGAAGGCTGAGATGGGAGGATCACTTGAGCCTGAAAGGTTGAGACTGCAGTGAACCTTGATCGTCCCACTGCACTTCAGCCTCGGCAACAGAGTGAGACGCTGTCTCAAAAAAGGAAAAAAAAAAAAAAAGAATGTGGAGATAAGCAGATTTCAAATGTGAAGTGAAAAGCTTTTCATTGTTCAAACCATATTGCTAAGTGAGAAAAGCAAAGTACAGATATGTATAGAATCTATGACTTTTTTTCCTATAAGATGAAAACCTATAATATAATTGACACACACCAAATAATGAGCAAAGGGAGACACAATTCTATGAGGATAATACTATACTGCAAATTTCACCTTCTGTTTTTACTTATTCATTAAATTATGTATTTAGAGACAGGGTCTTGCTCTGCTGCCCAGACTAGCACTCCTGTGCTAAAGTGATTCTCCCTCTAAGCCTCCCAAGTAGGTGGGTGAACAGGCACACTTTTTCTCCACCTTGGTATTGTTCAATGTTTTTAATAAAGAAAAAGAATCTCATTTTAATGACAAAACCAACAAGGAGACCATTTTTAATCACATGCTGACCTTAATTCCATGTCTTCTTAGACATCACTGTTAAAACTTCTGGGCCAGGTGAGGTGGCTCACGCCTGTATTCCCAGCACTTTGGGATGCTGCCTCTGGTGGATCACCTGAGGTGAGGAGTTTGTGACCAGCCTGGCCAAAATGGTGAAACCTCGTCTCTACTAAAAATACAAAAATTAGCCGGGTGTGGTGGCAGGCACCTGTAATCCCAGCTACTTGGGAGGCTGAGGCAGGAGAATGAATTGCTTGACCCAGGAGGAGAAGGAGGTTGCAGTGAGCTGAAACTGCACCATTGTACTCCAGCCTGGGCAACGAGAGAAACTCCATTAAAAAAAAAAAAAAAAACCCTGTAAAGTCAGTTGGGAGTGGTAACTTACACCTGCAATGTCAGCACTTTGGGAGGCCGAGGCAGGGAGCTCAGAGATCAGGAATTTGAGAGCAGCCTGGCCAACATGGTGAAACCTTGTCTCTACTAAAAATACAAAAATTAGCTGGGCGTGGTGGCAGGCGTCTGTTATCCCAGCTACTCGGGAGGCTGAGGCAAGATAATCGCTTGAACCCAGGAGGTGGAGGCTGCAGTGAGCCGAGATTGTGCCACTGCACTCCAGCCTGGGCAACAAGAACAAAACTCTGTCTCACAAATAAATGAATAAATAAATAAATAAATAAATAAATAAATAAGCTGGGCACAGTGGCGTTGTGCCTGTAATCCCAGCTACTCTGGAAGCTGAGGCAGGAGAATCGCTTGAACCCAGAAGGCAGAGGTTGCAGTGAACCAACATGGCGCCATTGCACTCCAGCCTGGGACAGAACGAGACTTTGTCTCAAAAAAAAAAAAAAAAAAAGGAAAAAACTTTTGTGAAGTGTAAATTTTTGTCACCATCCACTAATATTTCAATAGGGCTATTTCTGTCATCACATTTATTAGACAGTCATTGGTAATAAGTTTCTGTAATTGGCATTTCACCTCTTTCTGGTGTCATATTAGTTCCTCATGCAGAACACTCCCCGCTGTCACAAAAGAAACAAATGATAATCACTTCCCAGGAAAGATACAAGCTCGATAATTTAACATACGCCCAATGTCTCCAGGTGGAGATCATCACCGCCATTGCCAATACCAAACTGGGATTTCTCTCATTGTTCTTTACCTGAGACTGACTTCAAGTTCCTAAAATGGGTTGAAAATATAAGTTAGAATACCAAGTAAGGGACATTACATGAATAATGTTTTGCTCAATGAATTGGACACAATAATTGACTATATAAGCGGGAGAGTTATTTTTCCGTGGGAACGACTGATTCATCTTTGTACTCTTGCTTTAGCCTCTCCTCTATCTTCCTTGGCGTGGTCCTATCTGGATTAGTTCTCTTTTGTTCCTGGCAGACTGAAAAACCAACTCTAATGCCTCAGAGTGAGGCGGGAGAATAGGGAATTAGGGGAACCAAGGATGAAGGCATAAGCGAAAGAACAGCAGGTGCAGCTAGTTCTAGGCAAGATGAGGCAGCACGCAGGCCACATCCTCACTCCTGTGATAACAAGACAGAAGTCTCCACTTCAGCCTGATTGGTTGTGCACCAATCCTTTATAGGCTTGGAAGCCTTTAAAGAGCTCTTGGGGTACTATAAAGTTCTAGCTTATTATTAATGGCAAAAACCGCAATTACTTTTGCAGCAACCTAATAAAACCCTAAAAAACATTGTAATCGGGGTTCTTGAGCCCCTTGGTCGCCCGTTCCCACACCTGCATTCCACTTCTGTGGAGTGTACTTTCACCTCACTAAATCGCTTTCATTGGTTCGTTCTTTCGTTGCTATTTTTGTGCGTTTTGTTCACTTCTTTGTTCAATGCACCAACAACCTGGACAATTCACGGTCAAAATTTTCCATCCAGTAACAAGAGTGCATTCATGTGAATTATAACACAGTAATGTTTATCAGTCTCTGCTTCCAGTGCAGGCATTTTGTGTCTAAACCATTGTATAAAGTGATACACGAATTTGGATTTGTAGCCTTTGGGAGCATTCACAATATTTTTAGCTCCTGGGAGCTTAAATTTCTAAAAATGTGAATTAATATCTTTGCAAACACTTCGGTGGTCAGTTACAAACAGGGATTCCCCAGGAATCTCAATATAGCCTCTAAGGAGGGGCGAGACCATCCTCCGCCCTAAAAGGATGCGCGCTTTAATGAGCCCCCTGAGGTGGAGCTGGGACTTCTCTGTAGAAGCGCCTTTGGGAAGCGGCAGCTTTACTACCTTGGAACCTGGGGAACTACATTACCCAGAAAGCTCTACATTGAATGACAGCGCTACAGAACCAGTAAGGGCTCAGAATAAAGGCGATTCTGGGTGCGCACGTAACGTAGTGGCGGGATCTCAGCGTTCACTGGTAGCGGCCATTTTGGTTAATGTTGGGGGTGTGTGTGCGGTTCGTGAGGTGAGAGGCGCTGGAGCTGTGGGTCCGAACCGCGGTGTCTGAACCCAGAAGTTGGAGAAGAGTCCTTCTCGCTGCACAGAGGCGGATCGTAGGCCCCGTAACGGCACCCGCCTCTCCCGGCCGTGCTTTCCCCACGTACTCGGATGGCGGCGGCCGCACTGAGGCTCCCGGCTCAGGTAATTCTGCCTTCCCTGCTCTCAGGTCACCTCATCCTAACCCGAGTCCTAAAGCAGCGAGGGAGCGGCGACTGTTCACAGGTCTGCAGCCCGGACCCGGCGTCGGGATACTGAGGCGTTCGCGGGAGAGGTCCCTGTTTCTGACATCTATGGGAAGCGGTGGGGAGAGCGACAGGCACAGGGACCGGCGCGGGCAATGGCCTGGAGTTGAACGGACCCGGGAGGATGGAACCGGGGGTCCACAGGCGCCCGTAGGGAACAATATGTGAGGCGAAGCTTCTCTTGGAAGAGCGGGCTGGGGGCTGTGTATTCACTGTGAAGACGCTAGAAGCCATGGAGAGTTTCGAAGAAAGGAGGGATGCGATCCAAGTCCAGGCTTTTAGTGTTTCCCAAAGGCCAAAGGAAGAACAAAGTAGAGGGAATGAGGACCTTGGGGTTCTGGGAGGTTGACTCCTTTGTTGATAGATCACATAGGTGGTAGAGATGATACTTTGCACTGAGACACGCAGGTCAGACAACCACTCCGAGGTCACCTGGCTCCAGCGATAAGAACAGGTTCAAGGAGACCTGAGCTTATCAGATCCCCCTTGTAATGTCTGCCTTCTCCTCAGACACTCCTGGCTGCAGAAGCACTTAAAGAACCCACTGAGGGGGCCAGGTGAGGTGGCTCACACCTGTAATCCCAGCACTTTGGGAGGCCCAGGCGGGCTGATCACCTGAGGGCGGGAGTTCGAGACCAACCTGACCAACATGGAGAAACCCCGTCTCTACCAAAAATACAAAAGTAGCCGGGCGTGGTGGCGCATGTCTGTAATCCCAGCTCCTGGGAGGCAGAGGCAGAATTGCTTGAACTCGGGAGGCAGAGGTTGCGGTGAGCCATTGCACTCCAGCCTGGGCAACAAGACGAAACTCTGGCAAAAAAAAAAAAAACAAAAAAAAAAACCTACAGAGGGAACTGGAGGGTGTTCCATTCCCTCACTGGCCTTATTCTCCATTCACATGTTCTCTAGCTTGTGATATCCTGGAATACGGCCATGGATATCTAAAGCCACACCTGGTTCTGTGGGGGTGTGGAGCCATGCAAGAAGGCTTTCACAGAATGACTTGGGAACTGCATTGCTCTTGGGAACCATGAGAATTCTGTGGTAATATTGAATCCTGTTTGAATTTGCCAAGCATACTGTGAATTCTGTCAGCCACATTGTGGCATAAGGCCAAAAATGAAAGCCCAATGTGATGGGCCACCTTGATGTGTGGTGATACTGCATGACCTCAAATGGCCTGAGCGCAAACCCCCTTCCTACTCTGTTCTATTGGATAATATATCCTGGCCTAACAACCCTTTTCATTAAGGGATCAGGCAGTTTCTGATTATTATACTTTGTTCTGGGTTTCAATTCCATTTCTACTCAGAATTATTTAAGCAAGTCAGTGGAACCCTCTTGAGAAATCAGGGGCTGTCACACCCTCTTCATCCTACAAAGTGTGCATAACACAGTCCCTGGTTTCCCTCTGCTGTCCACAGTGCACCCCCATGTGGCCCTGTCTGCCAGGCTGTGAGTTATTTGATTTTGAAATTGCTGTTAATGGCATCTGTACTCTCAGGTATCAGTTGTTTCCCCAACACTATAACCCTAAGGGGTGAATCCCACTCAGAGCAGTAGAAGGAAAAGAAGGGGATTAAAATACTTTAAGTTGTTGACCAGGCTTCAAGGCTTATGCTGTAATCCCAGCACTTTGGGAGGCTGAGGTGAGAGAATTGCTTGATGCCAGGAGTTTGAGATCAGCCTGGGCAAGTTAGCAAGACCCCATCTCTTAAAAGAAAGTGGTTGATGTTGCACATGTTAAGATCCCATCTCCACAGAAGGCTGAGGCCTGGGAAAAAAGGGTTTGAAGTTTCCATGAGCCATGATCACACTACTCCCCTCCAGCTTGGGCGACCAAAGGAGAACCTAACTAAAAGAAACCAAAACTATAATTTGTGTTAAGGCTCAAAAGAGGCTGATGGTTGGGGGATGTCACGTTGGGGTGGCCATGGCATGTGCCTGTGTCTAAAGAATAATGTGTAAGGCTGGGTGTGGTGGCTCATGCCTATAATACCAGCACTTTGGGAGGCCGAGGCGGGTAGATCACCTGAGATCAGGAGGGTAGATCACCTGAGATCAGCTTAGCCAACATGGTGAAACCCTATTTCTACTAAAAATACAAAAATTAGCCAGGTGTGGTGGCAGGTGCCTGTAATCCCAGTTACTTGGGAGGCTGAGGCAGGAGAATCACTTGAACCCGGGAGGTGGAGGTTGCAGTGAGCTGAGATCCCACCACTGCACTCCAGCTTGGGCAACAAGAGTGAGACTCTGTCTCAGAAAAAAAAGAAGGATGTGTATTTAGAGAGGGAGTATGTCTAATGGACTCAGGCAACTGCATTGGGCTTTATGTGAGCTCGGATATACCAGAGGCATTGGCTGTCAGGAGGGGGTGGATCCTTTTATGTTAAGAGCACAGCATAGCCAGGTGCAGTGGCTCATGCCTGTAATCCCAACACTTTGGGAGGCCGAGGTGGTGGATCATGAGGTCAGGAATTCAAGACCAGCCTGGCCAAGATGGTGAAACCCTGTCTCTACTAAAAATACAAAAATGAGCCAGAAGTGGTGGTTGGTGCCTATAATCCCAGCTACTCGGGAGGCTGAGGCAGAGAATTGCTTGAACCCAGGAGGCAGAGGTTGCAGTGAGCCGAGGTCATGCCACTGCACTCCAGCCTGGGTGACAGAGCAAGACTCCGTCTCAAAAAAAAAAAAAGTGCAGCATAGATCCCTATTTTCCCCCTACTTCTTAATTGCTGATGGCTATACTGAGTGACCTGTGGGCTCACAAAGAGACAAAGGCACCAGTGGACTAGTCTCTCCTCTGTGCTGAGGATCTTGGGAGGAGGAGGGGCAAGGGGGTGGGGATATGGGAGAGGTGGATTATGGTACCTCAGCATAGGAACTGTTTGTGGTTTCATCTGTTACCATCATAGCAGGGCACTGTGGCATTTGAAGACGTGGCTGTGAACTTTTCCCAGGAAGAATGGAGTCTCCTTAGTGAGGTTCAGAGATGCCTTTACCATGATGTGATGCTGGAGAACTGGGTACTTATATCCTCCCTGGGTAAGTTCCTCACACCCTCCCCTATTTTTTTTTTTTTTGAGACGGAGTCTCACTCTGTCGCCCAGGCTGGAGTGCAGTGGCCAGATCTCAGCTCACTGCAAGCTCCGCCTCCTGGGTTCAGGCCATTCTCTTGCCTCAGCCTCCCGAGTAGCTGGGACTACAGGCGCCCGCCACCTTGCCCGGCTAGTTTTTTGGTTTTTTTTTAGTACAGACGGGGTTTCACCGTGTTAGCCAGGATGGTCTCGATCTCCTGACCTCGTGATCCGCCCGTCTCGGCCTCCCAAAGTGCTGGGATTACAGCTTCCCTATTTCTTCAATAAGTCTCTGCCCTGCCCCTTTTTTCCCATTGGCAAGACTGTTTTCATCATATCGGGACCCTGGACACAGCTTCCTTCTCTACTTCTCTGGGTAGGTTTTGTGGTTCATAAGTCTGAGGTTTGTGTACTACCTTCTCTCCTTGAGCAGTCCCAATACCTGCTTTGCTGCAGACTCTCAGGGAAGGAGTCAGAGTCAGGTGTCTTGTAATCAATCTAATGCATTTCACCTTGCTTGTCCCCTCGTTGCTGTTTAACTTGGTCCAGATCTGAGACTCCTGTGTGTCCAGGTTCTACTTCCTTCCTTTGGCTGACATTACTTGATGCCTGCCTGTGGCAGGAATTGCCATCACTCATATTGTCACTGCCTACATAGACCAAAGGCAAGACCCTCCTTAGAAATTCTGTTTTAATAATTAGTTTTCTTTCCTGTGTGTTGTCATGTTTAGAGCCACTGTTGCTGAAAACTACCCAGCACATATTGGCAAGAGGAAGAGGATAGGGAATCCAGTGATGTGGCCTTTGTGACCAGCCAGCATTTCAGTTTAATCAGGCGCAAATGGCCTTCCTGGCTTATCAGTATTTGCTGCCACAGAGGCTAGTTGCCCCAGTTCTGCCCTATCTTTGCCTTAGTACTTATGTCATCCAGGTTCCATGTACTTCATCGTCTTGGTGGTGGGATGGAGAGTCCTCAGTGCTCCAGAAGAGGCAACTGAATCCAGACTCAGCGTGATGTGCTGAGAGGGAACCTGTCGCTGAGGAGTGGCACCTGGTGGGAGGGCATGAGTTTGAGATTTTAGGCAAATCATATCAGAAACCTATTCTATTTGACTAATATTTTTGTGGCCAGTAGGCACTCACTATTTCTGTCTTTTCTTCTGCATTCTTGAGAGCCTCGAATTTGTCGGTTGTACACCTTGTCACTTGTACTCTGATATCCATCCCCCAATGATCTTCAAGTCTCTGGACTCCACATCTCAACCATTTATTTTCTCATGTTTCCTTCCGAAGTGCTGTCCAATACTGGCATACACATTGTGTATTAGCAAGTGTATACAAATTGTTAAACTGCTCTGAGCAAGAGCTGTTGTCTTGTAATCATTTTCTTAGGCCTGGACATAGCCTTCTATATAGCATTAACATGTCATCAGATAATTTCCTGCAGACAAGTGGTTTGCAAAGGAAAGAGTTGTACACCAGGCACATTGGCGTACACCTGTAATCCTAGCACTTTAGGAGGCCGATGTGGACGGATTTCTTGAACCCAGGAGTTTGAGACCAGCCTGGGCAACAAGGCGAAACCCCACCTCAACAAAAAGTAGCTGGGCATATTGGCATGTGCCTGTGGTCCCAGCTACTGTGGAGGCTGAGGTGGGAGGATCACCTGAGCCCAGGAGACAGAGATTATCCCACTGCACTCCATGCTGGATCACAGAGTGGGACCCTGTCTCTCAAGAAGCAAAAAAAAAAAAAAAGAATTATAGACCCTGGCTCAGTTCTCTGTGTTCATGTATGCTTATGCCCTTCATATCACGGTGCCTACATTCTTTGACCTTTATAGCCCGTTAATGATAGCCTCATCTTCCACGTGAAGCCAGCATTCATTCTGTTCCTGCAAATATTTCCATGGAGTAATTCCTTGGTTTGTCAGACACGCTTGTGGGTGGGCTGTGCCTTCCCACCAGAGTTAACTTGAACTCATCAGCATTTTCTTGCTTTCAGGTTATTGGTGTGGATCGGAAGATGAGGAGGCACCTTCTAAGCGGAACATTTTGCACTTGGCAGATCATCAGGGGACACATCACAAGCAGAAACTGCACAGGTGTGAGGATTGGGGGAATAAATTGTATGATAGTTCAAACCATCAGCACCAGAATCAGTACCTTGGAGAGAAACCCTATAGAAGCAGTGTTGAAGAAGCATTGTTTGTGAAGAGGTGTAAGTTCCATGTGTCAGAGGAGTCATCTGTCTTCATTCAGAGTGGGAAGGACTTTTTGCTCAGCTCAGGATTACTGCAACAGGAGGCCACTCACACTGGGGAGAAGTCAAACAGCAAACCTGAGTGTGAGTCTCCCTTTCAGGGGGGAAATACTCATTACAGCTCTGGAGAATGCATGAAACATTCTGGCACCAAACACATACTTGTTCAACAGCAGAGACTTCTCCCTAGAGAAGAATGTTATTGCTGCGAATGTGGGAAATCCTTTATTAAATATGATAGCTTCAGTAATCATCAGAGAGTTCATACTGGGAAAAGACCTTATGAATGTGGAGAATGTGGGAAATCTTTTAGTCATAAGGGCAGCCTTGTTCAGCATCAACGAGTTCATACTGGAGAAAGACCTTATGAGTGTGGAGAATGTGGGAAATCTTTTAGTCAAAATGGCACCCTCATTAAACATCAACGAGTTCACACTGGAGAAAGACCTTATGAGTGTGAAGAATGTGGGAAATGTTTTACTCAAAAGGGCAATCTGATTCAACATCAACGAGGTCACACTAGTGAAAGACCTTATGAGTGTGAAGAATGTGGAAAATGTTTTAGTCAAAAGGGCACCCTCACTGAACATCATCGAGTTCACACTAGAGAAAGACCTTATGAGTGTGGAGAATGTGGGAAATCTTTTAGTCGAAAGGGACACCTTAGCAACCATCAGCGAGGTCACACTGGAGAAAGACCTTATGAGTGTGGAGAATGTGGGAAATCTTTTAGTCGAAAGGGCAACCTCATTCAGCATCAGCGAAGCCACACTGGAGAAAGGCCTTACGAGTGTAGAGACTGTAGGAAATTATTTAGGGGCAAGTCCCACCTCATTGAACACCAGAGAGTTCACACTGGAGAAAGGCCATATGAATGTAATGAATGTGGGAAATCATTTCTAGACAGCTCTGGGTTTCGTGTTCATCAGAGAGTTCACACTGGAGAAAAACCGTTTGAGTGCAGTGAATGTGGGAAATCATTTCCTCAAAGCTGTTCCCTTCTTCGACATAGGAGAGTTCATACTGGAGAAAGGCCTTATGAGTGTGGAGAATGTGGAAAGTCATTTCATCAGAGCTCTTCCCTCCTTCGACATCAGAAAATTCACACTGCAGAAAGACCTTATGAGTGCAGAGAATGTGGGAAATTCTTCTCCAGTCTCCTTGAACACAGGAGAGTTCACACTGGAGAAAGGCCTTATGAATGCAGTGAATGTGGAAAAACATTTACTCGAAGATCTGCGCATTTTAAACATCAGAGACTTCATACTCGAGGAAAGCCTTATGAGTGCAGTGAATGTGGGAAATCCTTTGCTGAAACGTTCAGTCTTACTGAACACAGGAGAGTTCACACTGGAGAAAGGCCTTATGGGTGCAGTGAATGTGGAAAATCATTTCATCGAAGCTCTTCTCTCCTTCGACATCAGAGAGTTCACACAGAAAAAAGTCCTTACAAGTGAAAGAAATTTGGGAAATTCTTTAGCTAAATCTCTGTGCATCCTCTTGATCAGAGGGTTCTTACTGGATCGGGACCTTATGAGTGTGACAAACGTGGGATATTCTTTATGCAGAAGTCTTGCTTTATTACATACAGAAGAGCTTCCTCTGCTGAAGTGCCTCTTGAGTGTGACAAATGTGAGAAAGCCTTCCGCCTTCTCTCATTGGATAACAGATTGTTCTCTTAAGGAAAACACTGTACACATACAGGAAATATTATTTCTTGTAAAACATAACACTGGAGGAGATGCCTTATGAGGGAGCCATCTGCCTAAATTGAATGACATACATCCAGCATCTGCATAAACTCAATTATGTTAGAGCTGCATGGCATTTTTCACCCTGTCGTGTTCCCTTGCCAGACTTATGTGACTGCCAGGTATCTGGCAACCATTCTATGTCGGCCACGAGGCAGGTGTTCACCGTGCATCTTTCACTCACCCCATGATGTTCCGGAAGTAAACCTTGGTTGTCTTTCATTGGCCAGAGGAATTGGTGAGTAGTCTTGGCTGTCATTCCTTTCTCATTTATTTCTGATAAGTGAGACCATGGATCTGTCTCATTACTGGACCAGAGGAGTCTTCTGTCAGCTTGAAAAGATGGACTAACTTTTTCAGGGACCTTATGAGTCTCATGTGATTCTTTAAGTGGAATTTTTCAGCCTCTTAAGTTCCAACCAAAGAACATTCTGCCTCTTATTGCTCTGATTTGTGCAATGACTAAGGCCTTATTGTTTAAGCTTCCTTCAATCTTGAGAGTTGTATTTACTCTTTGGGGTGGTTCAGAAACAACTGGGTTCTGATGTCCTAAAGGGGCAAACAACTTTTGTTGGGATCACTGGACTTGGAGTGCCCCAGAGGGGACAGTATGATGACAGAATATACTGTCTCTTCACTTGTGGCATAGTTTTCATGGCTGCCCAAGGCCTCCAAAGACTCCAGAACTTTGTGGTCCTTATTTGTTGACTAGATACTCCAATAATTTCTGGGTTTATAGATCAACCTGAGAAGGGAACAGTGTTTGTGACATCCTCTGGTGCTTCTGAGATCAACTGAGATTTTTCTCTCTTTTACAAGGGATATTGCATTCTGCTCAGTCCTGCTGAGGGAAATCAGTTCCCTAGATCCTGCAATGCAGCCATGTGCCCTCATATCCAGAGTTTCATAGGGTGGTGTCCCAGGTTATGAGATTGTAACAGGAAATCATAATTTATAGAATTTCTGCATTTATAGGCAGTGGAGGACATGGCAAGAACAGAGTTGGAATGCATGTCATTCAAATGGACATCCACATTGATGCAGTTACTATGTGTGTGTTGGACCTTCAGGTACAGAAATTCTCAGAACCTCCGTAATTATGAATCTTGTGTAGCTGAGGCCATTGTCAAAGGAAATAATATAAAGGATTTGTGGATTCCTGTACCTTTTCTTGGCTGTTCACCTCAGGGCCATGCCTGCACTGGCAGGAGGAAGAGGATAGGGAGAAGGGAGATCTCTTAGTCCAGTGATGTGGTCTGTGTGACCAACCAGTGTTCCAGTCTAATCAGGTGAAAATGGCCTTCCTGGCTCAATCAGTAATTGCTACCGCAGAGACTCATTGCCACACTTGGGACATGAGGAGATTTTGTATAGTTGTCACGCATTTTTGTCAAAAATAATAGAAAATCCATGTTTTTCTTTTTTTTTTTATTTTCTAAGACAAGGTGTTGCTCTGTGACCCTGGCTGGAGTACAGTGGCGAGATCATAGTTCGCTGCAGCCTCGAACTCTTCAAGCAATCCTTTTCCCTCAGCCTCCCAAAGTGTTGGGATTACAGGCCTGAGCCATCACGTCCAGCCCACATTTTTCTTTTGAACCAATTCTTTAAAGCCATAATAAGGAATAAATGACATTCAGTAAACTATACATATTTAAACTGTACCATGTGATAAGTTTAGACTTTCGTAGAAACCCATGAAAGTGGCCAGGCGCAGTGGCTCACGCCTGTAATCCCCATACTTTGGGAGGCCGAGGTGGGTGTATCACAAGGTCAGAAGATTGAGACCATCCTGGCTAACACAGTGAAACCCCGTCTCTACTAAAAATACAAAAAAAATGGCTGGGCATGGTGGCTTACGCCTGTAATCCCAGCACTTTGGGAGGCCAAGGCGGGTGGATCACGAGGTCAGGAGATCGAGACCATCCTGGCTAACAAGGTGAAACCTCATCTCTACTAAAAAATACAAAAAATAGCCGGGTGTGGTGGTGGGTGCTTGTAGTCCCAGCTACTCGGGATTCTGAGGCAGGAGAATGGCATGAACCCGGGAGGCGGAGCTTGCAGTGAGCTGAGATCATGCAACTGCACTCCAGCCTGGGTGACAGAGTGAGACTCCATCTCAAAAAAACAAAAAAACAAAAAAGAAAGAAACCCTTGGAAGTATAATTTATCCATCGCCTTCATATTTACCTGGAGCCTATTGTTTTTTATTTACTTTTTGGAGTCGGGGTCTCACTCTGTTACCTGACTGGAGTGCAGTGACATCATCATAGCTCACTGTAATCTGAAATTCCTGGGCTCAGGCAGTCCTCCCACCTCAGTCTTCTGAGTAGCTGGAATCATAGGCTTGAGCCACCATGCCTACTTTGTTTTGTTTTGTTTTTGAGACAGACTCTCACTCTGTCGCCCAGCTTGGAGTGAAGTGGCGTGATCTCGGCTCACTGCAACCTCCACCTCCTGGCTTCAAGCGATTCTCCTCCCTCAGCCTCCAGAGTAGCTGGGACTTCAGGTATGCACAACCATGCCCGGCTAGTGTTTGTATTTTTAGTAGATACGGAGTTTCAACATGTTGTCCAGGCTGGTCTCGAACTCCTGACCTCAAGTGATCCACCTGTCTTGGCCTCCCAAAGTGCGGATTACAGGTGTGAGCCACTGCACCCGGCATTACTGTTACTATTTTTTAAAGCGATGAAGCCTCCTATGTTGTCCTACCTAGAGCCTTGTCACCCAGGCTGGAATGCAGTGTTGCCATCTCGGCTTACTGCAACCTCCGTCTCCTGGGTTCAACAAATTCTCCCACCTCAGCCTCCTTATTAGCTAGGATTACAAGCATGTACCATCATACCTGGCTAATTTTTTTTTTTTTTTTTTTTTTTGAGACGGAGTCTTGCTCTGTGCCCCAGGCTGGAGTGCAGTGGCGCGATCTCGGCTCACTGCAAGCTCCGCCTCCCGGGTTCACGCCATTCTCCTGCCTCAGCCTCCCGAGTAGCTGGGACTACAGGCGCCCGCCACCTTGCCCGGCTAATTTTCTTGTATTTTTAGTAGAGACGGGGTTTCACCGTGTTAGCCAGGATGGTCTCGATCTCCTGACCTCGTGATCCGCCCGTCTCGGCCTCCCAAAGTGCTGGGATTACAGGCTTGAGCCACCGCGCCCGGCCGCTAATTTTTTTTTGTATTTTTATTAGAGACAGTATTACCCTGTTGGTCAGGCTGGTCTCGAACTCCTGACCTCAAGTGATCCGCCTGTCTTGCCCTCCCAACGTTCTGGGATTACAGGTGTGAGCCACTGTGCATGGCTTGAGCCTTTTAATAGGATGTTCCTCTCTGCTCTTCAGACAACCATTGATTTAGTATGCTTTAAAACAGATTAGTTTGTGTTTTCTGGAATTTTATATGAATGATATCTTAAACTATTTCCTCTTTTCATTTTTGGGTTCTCTACTGTGTCATTTATTTTGCTATTAGTGATGATATATGACTAATTCATTCCTTTTATATTCCTGAGAAGTATGACATGGTGTGAAACATCAGTGTGTGCATATTAATCCATCTGTTTATATTTGATTTGCTTCTCACTTTTGTCTATTATAAATAATACTGATACAGACATTTAAATATAATTATTCATATCCATATATTTTACTCCTCTTATGTTAATATCTCCGTGTGCAGTGCCTGAGTCACATGGTAGGTAAAACTTTTTAAGAAATACCAGGCTGGGCGTGGTGGCTTAGCTGGGCGCGGTGGTTTATGCCTATAATCCCAGCACTTTGGGAGGCGGAGGCGGACAGATCACCTGAGGTTGAGAGTTCGAGACCAGCCTGACCAACATGGAGAAACCCCATCTCTACTAAAAATACAAATTAGTTGGGTGCGGTGGCGCATGCCTGTAATCCCAGCTATTTGGGAGGCTGAGACAGTTGAAACTGGGAGGCAGAAGTTGCAGTGGGCTGAGTCACACCGTTGCACTCCAGCCTGGGCAACAACAGTGAAACTCCGTCTCAAAAAAAAAAAAAAAAAGGCCGGGCGTGGTGGTTCACGCCTTTAATCCCAGCACTTTGGGATGCCGAGGCAGGCAGATCATGAGGTCAGGAGATCAAGACCATCTTGGCTAACATGGTGAAAACCCATCTCTACTAAATATACAAAAATTTAGCCGGGCGAGGTGGCCGGCGCCTGTGGTCCCAGCTACTCCAAAGGCTGAGGCAGGAGAATGGCATGAACCCGGGAGGCAGAGCTTGCAGTGATCCCAGCTCGTGCCACTGCACTCCAGCCTAGGCTACAGAGCAGGACTTCGTCTCAAAAAAAAAGAAAAGTACCACCAAACTGGGCCGGGCATGGTGGCTCATGCCTGTAATCCCAGCACTTTGGGAGGCTGAGGCGGGTGGATTACCTGAGGTCAGGAGTTCGAGACCAGCCTGGCCAACATGGTGAAACCCCATCTCTACTAAAAATAAAAAATTAGCCGAGTATGGTGGCACGCATCTGTAGTCCCAAGTACTCAGGAAGCTGAGGCAAGAGAATTTCTTAAACCCAGGAGACGGAGGTTGCAGTGAGCTGAGATTGTATCACTGCACTCCAGCCTGGGCAACAAGAGCGAAACTCTGAAAAAATAAAAAAAAAATACCAAACTGACCTAAATTAAAATGATTACTTCCTTTTGTATTCCTACCACCAGTGTCTGAGAATTCTTACAGAGAGAGTATGGTTAGCCTTTTAAATTTTCATTTTTTAGGCCAGGCACGGTGGCTTACGCCTGTAATCCCAGCACTTTGGGAGGCCAAGGGGGGTGAATCATGAGGTCAGGAGATCGAGACCATCCTCATGGTGGAACCCCGTCTCTACTAAAAATACAAAAAAAAAAAAAAATGGCCGGGCGTGGTGGCTGGCGCCTGTAGTCCCCAGCTACTCTGAAGGCTGAGGCAGGAGAATGGCGTGAACCCAGGAGGCGGAGCTTGCAGTGAGCCAGTATTGCACCACTGCACTCGATCCCGGGCGACAGAGTGAGACTCCGTCTCAAAAAAAAAAAAAAAAATTCATTTTTTAAATACATGGGTATTTCTTTTTAGGTAAAGTGTCTCTTCATGTCTGTTGCTTCACAAAAATGAACTTTGTGAAAAAAATTCACAAAAGTGAATTTTGTTTATTTTCCATTACATTAAGAAATAAGAAAATAGGCCAGGCGCAGTGGCTCATGCTTGTAATCCCAGCACTTTGGGAGGGCAAGGCGACAGATCACCTGAGGTCAGGAGTTTGAAACCAGCCTGACCAACATGGAGAAACCCCGTCTCTACTAAAAATACAAAATTAGCTGGGCGGGGTGGCGCATGCTTGTAATCCCAGCTACTGGGGAGACTGAGGCAGGAGAATCGCTTGAACCTGGGAGGCAGGGTTGCGGTGAGCCAAGATTGTGCCATTGCACTCTAACCTGGGCAACAAGAGCGAAACTCAAGAGAAAAAAAATGGTGGAGTGTGCTGGTGTGCTCCTGTAGTCCTAGTTACTCAGGAGGCTGCAGTTGGAAGATCACGTGAACCTGGGAAATCAAGGCTGCTCTAAGCTATGATCACACCACTGTACTCCAGCCTGGGTGACAGAACAAGACCTTGTCTGAAAAAAATAAAAAATTATGCTGGGCGCGGTGGCTCATGCCTGTAATCCCAGCACTTTGGGAGGCCAAGGCAGGCAGATCACCTGAGGTCAGGAATTCAAGACTAGCCTGGCCAACGTGGAACCTCTCTCTACTAAAAATACAAAAATTAGCAGGACATGGTTGTGGGCACCTGTAATCCCAGCTACTTGGGAGGCTGAGGCGGGAGAATCGCTTGAACCCAGGAGGTAGAAGTTGCAGTGAGCCAGGATCATCCCATTGCACTCCGTCTCAAAAAAAAAAAAAAAAAAAAAAAAATATATATATATATATATATATTTTGTTTTGTATCCTTTGGCATAAATGGATTAAGTAAGTCTGTCACTAAATAGAAAAATACTCCCGTCTGCAATGAATTAGAAGGTTGCTTATGGTTCTTTTTTTTTTTGAGACGGAGTCTTCATCTGTCTGCCCAGGCTGAAGTGTCACGATCTCAGCTCACTGCAGCCTCCGCCTCCAGGGTTCAAGTGATTCTCTTGCCTCAGTCTCCCAAGTAGCTGGGATTACAGGCATGCACCACTATGCCTGGCTAATTTTTGTACTTTTAGTAGAGACGGGGTTTTACCATGTTGTTCAAGCTGGTCTTGAACTCCTGACCTTGTGATCCACCCACCTCAGCCTCCCAAAGTGCTGGAATTTCAGGCATGAGCCATGGTGCCTGGCTTTTTTTTTTTTTTTTTTTTTTTTTTTTTGACCGTCTCACTGTGTTGCCCAGGCTGGGTACAGTGTGACACAATCACAATTCACTTCTGCCTTGACCTGCTGGACTCAAGCTGTCCTCCCACCTCTTGCCTCCCAACTTGCTAGGATAGGCATGTGCCACCACGCTCAGCTAATTTTAAAATTTTTTCTGTAGAGATTAGGTCTCACCATGTTGCCCAGGCTGCTCTCAAAATTCCTGGGCTCAAGGGATTTTCCCACCTTGGCCTCCCAAAATGCTAAGATTACAGGTTGAGCCACCGTCTGGCATGCTTTTGGTTTTTATCTTGAAATTTAACAAAGTGCTGTCCCATGTATTTAAGTATCAAACTATAACTGGATTTTCTTTCTTTTCAAGGATCTCAAGGGCATTTCCCTTTGCCCACCTCACCTTTTCATATTTGGCAAACTATATGCATTTGCCTCCAGCCCAAGATTATAGATATGAACTGATTATGATCTGCATGTTCTGTCATTGGATTCAAGCATATTCTTACAGAAGAGCCACCTTGGAAGTCGTGGGTAAATATGTGTTGGATTGGTAACTCCCTCTTGGAGAATTTCTTGTGAGTTACACAGCAATAGAGGAACTCATTTAACTGGAGATACAATCTGAATTTGTAAAGTGTGGCCCATTTTCTAACATTTTTATTTTACATACCCTCCCATGTCTTCTGGGTTGATGAAACTAACAGAGATTAATAAAAACTCATCATGTCATGTACAGGGACTCATGCCTTTAATTCCAGCATTTTGGGAGACTAAGACAAGAACATCCTTGAGGCCAGGAGTTCGAGACTGTATAACAGATACATCTGACAGTAATAAGCACACCTTAAGAATGACCCTGTGGTCTAAGAAGAGTGTTGGTTCAACGTTCCAAACGAAGGAATCTGGGAGTGGCCAACCCAGAGGTTTCTGAACCCCTGGCCTGTTCCTTGCAATGAGGCCCTTTGTTTTGAGCTGGGTGGAGGGTGATAAGTGAAAATACTGTATGAACTGCATGCTTCTTACAAATGATAGTGGTTTTCTTGTCCAGCCTGCTGCTCCTGGACTGCCCTGTATCTAAGTCCTCAATAAACCCTGTGTCTCGTTTTCTTTTTTCTTTTTTTTTTTTTTTTTGAGATGGAGTTTCGCTCTTGCTGCCCAGGCTGGAGTGCAATGGCATGATCTCGGCTCACCACAGCCTCCACCTCCCGGTGCAAGCGATTCTCCTGCCTCAGCCTCCCAAGAAGCTGGGATTACAGGCATGTGCCTCTACACCCGGCTAATTTGTATTTTTAGTAGAGGTGGGGTTTCTCCATTTTGGTCAGAGTGGTCTTGAACTCCCAACCTCAGGTGATCCATGTGCCTCAGCCTCCCAAAGTGCTGGGATTACAGGCATGAGCCACCATGCCTGGCCCTATGTTTCAGTTCTAGCTCTGGCTCTCATTCACTTCTTGTACATGGTGCCATCCTTATTGGAGTCAATAGGGTAGGGATCAAGCATGATAGAGACCAGCTGGGCAACACAGCACCTGTCTCTATCAAAACAGCTGGGCATGGTGGCACATGCTGTGTGGTCCTAGCTGTGTGGGAGACTGTGGCAGGAGGATCATTTGAGCCCAGGGATTTGAGGTTACAGCGGGCTATGATTGCTCCACTGCACTCTAGCCTAGGCAGCAGAGCAAGACCCTGTCTCTCACCTGGTGAAATTAGCAGAAGCTTTTCATATTACTTTGCTGAAGGCTCTTAAATTGGTTTTGCTTAACCTATAAACAACTCCCTTCAGAAAGCAAGTATTCCCTTGTGAGAAAATTACCTATCATCCCATGAGGTTGGATGGAGGATTGTATGAACCAACTAAATTCATGACCAGGCATGGTGACTCACGCCTGTAATCTCAGCACTTTGGTAGGCCGAGGTGGGTGGATTGCCTGAGGTCAGGAGTTCCATACCAGCCTTGCCAACATGGTGAAACCTCATCTCTTCTAAAAATCCAAAAAGTAGCTGGGCGTGGTGGCAGGCACCTGTAATCCCAGCTACTCTGGAGGCTGAGGCAGGAGAATCTCTTTGTTTTGTTTTGTTTTGTTTTGAGACATAGTCTGTCACCCAGGCTGGAATGCAGTGCAACCTTCACTCACTGCAACCTCTGACTCCCGGGTTCAAGTGATTCTCTTGCCTCAACCTCCCAAGTAGCTGAGATTACAGGCATGCGCCACCATGCCCGGCTAATTTTTGTATTTTTAGTAGAGACAGGGTTTCACCATGTTGGCCAGGCTGGTCTTGAACCTCTGACCTCAGGTGAGCCACTTGCCTCAACCTCCAAAAGTGCTGGAATTACAGGCATGAGCCACCGCACCTGGCAGGAGAATCACTTGAACCCGGGAGGTGGAGGTTGCAGTAAGCTGAGATCGCGCCACTGCACTCCAACGTGGGCGACAGAGACTGTCTCAAAAAAAAAAAAGGAAGAAGAAGAACCTCATTTTGAAGCCAAAACAATCAGACTGACCATTCCAGTTATGTGCTGAACATAATTTCATCTCTTGGACGTGGGTGCTAACATTTCTCTGAGGTCCTAAGTTTTTTCACCATCTACTGATGCTTCCATAGACCCACTTCTGTCAAAACTGTTTGATAATTACCTAGTCAGTGTTTTCTTGTTTTTTTTTTTTTTGAGACGGAGTCTCGCTCTGTCACCCAGGCCGGAGTGCAGTGGCCGGATCTCAGCTCACTGCAAGCTCTGCCTCCGGGGTTCATGCCATTCTCCTGCCTCAGCCTGTTTTATTGTTTTTTGCTTTTTGTATTTTTTTTGGCGGTAGGGGAGACGGAGTCTCGCTCTGTTGCCCAGGCTTTAGTGCAGTGGCGCAATCTAAGCTCACTACAACCTCTGCCTCCCGGGTTCAAGCAGTTCTTTTGTCTCAGCCTCCCAAGTAGCTGGGACGACAGGCACGTGCCACTATGCCTGGCTAATTTTTTTTTTTTTTTTTTTTTTTGAGACGCCCAGGCTGGAGTGCAGTGGCGCCATCTCTGCTCACTGCAAGCTCCTCCTCCTGGGTATACGTGTTTCTCCTGCCTCAGCCTCCCAAGTGTCTGGGACTACAGGCACCCGTCACCATGCCTGGCTAATTTTTTTGTATTTTTAGTAGAGACAGGTTTCACCATGTTAGCCAGGATGGTCTCAATCTCCTGATCTCGTGATCTGCCCACTTCGGCCTCCCAAAGTGCTGGGATTACAGGCGTGAGCCACTGCGCCCGGCCTAATTTTTGTATTTTTAGTAGAGACGGGGTGTCACCATATTGGCCAGGCTGGTCTTGAACTCCTGACCTGGTGATCCGCCTACCTTGGCCTCCCAAAGTGCTGGGATTACAGGCGTGAGCCACTTTGCCCAGTCTACCTGGTCAGTATTAATAGGCTTTTGTATCTTGCAATTTACAACTCTTCCTTTCATGTAATACTAATTTTTCATGCAGAACACTCCCTACTCTCAAGATAAATCAGTGATAATCACTTCCCATCAATGACATGAACACATGGCTTTAACAAACGCCCAGTATGACCAGATGGAGAGCACCACCTTTAAGGACTGTTTGAAATTCTTGTTCCTTGGTGCCATAAAGAAATAGCACTTGAACATTAACTTCCTCAGCAAGGCCATTTTTAGTTTCTGCAGAAACGGTACACTCGCTGGCAGTTTTGCTATGAGAGTACACTGAACAAAGAAGACAGGATCATTTATAACCTGATGCGTCCACCTTATTGCTATGTCTGGTTTCCATTGACTAAATACAAATTCGCATTCTGTATTTGTCCTGATTGGCTAGCAATGTAGAACTTTTTAAAAAGAGGCAAAGGCAGAGGAAAATGAAGGAGGAATTAACTTGTGGAATGCTAAGAAAGGCAAAAACACTTTCAAATAAGGAAGAGGAACAGGATATGACTTAATGCTTCCTTGGACCAGTGTAACCATGTCAGGGCAAATACTTAGGCTAAATTGTGGGAGCTAAGAACATAAAGTACATAGATTTTTTTTTTATCACAGCTAGCAGATACCTAAGAATGTTAAAACAGGTCTTTGAATAAATTTTGCTTCTAAAAGAAGTTACCATTTATTCCTAATTAGATGGGGAGGAAAGTCTTTGAAGAGGAACCTCTACTTTACTTTTTACAGACTGTAGCCATCACCACTACCAAGATACCATTTCTTTTATTGTTTTTTGTTTGTTTGAGAGAGAGAGTTTCGCTCTGTCGCCAGGCTGCAGTGCAGTGGCATGATCTCGGCTCACAGCAACCTCTGCCTCCCAGGTTCAAGTGGCCAGGCTGGTCTTGAACCTCTGACCTCAGGTGAGCCACTTGCCTCAACCTCCAAAAGTGCTGGAATTACAGGCATGAGCCACCGTACCTGGCAGGAGAATCACTTGAACCCGGGAGGTGGAGGTTGCAGTAAGCTGAGATCGCGCCACTGCACTCCAACGTGGGCGACAGAGACTGTCTCAAAAAAAAAAAAAAGGAAGAAGAAGAACCTCATTTTGAAGCCAAAACCATCAGACTGACCATTCCAATTATGTCTCTGCCTCCTGAGTAGCTGGGACTACAGGCGCATGCAACCACACCTGGCTAATTTTTTTTTTTTTGTATTTTTAGTAGAGACGGGGTTTCACCGTGTTAGCCAGGATGGTCTTGATCTCCTGACTTGGTGATCCACCTGCCTCGGCCTCCCAAAGTGCGGGAATTACAGGCGTGAGCCACCGTGCCCAGTGTTATTGTTCTTGAGCCATAAGACTAACGTCATGTGGTGGCTCACGCCCGTAATCCCAACACTTTGGGAGGCCGAGGTGGGCGAATCACAAGGTCAGGAGATCGAGACCATCCTGGCTAACACAGTGAAACCCCGTCTCTACTGAAAATACAAAACATTAGCCGGGCGTGGTAGTGAGCACATATAGCCTCAGCTACTCGGGAGGCTGAGGCAGGAGAATGGCGTGAACCCGGGAGGCGGAGGTTGCAGTGAGCCGAGATTGCGCCACTTCACTCCAGCCTGGGTGACAGAGCGAGACTCCCTTTCAAAAAAAAAAAAAAAAGACTGATGTCAAATTACTAAAAGTAGTTGAATATAAGAATGTCAGGTAAAGGATACTAAGTGGGAAAAGGTGTTGTTCAATTAATTGCTACAATGATTTGTGAACTCCCCAAATTTGAGGCAGGTCTCAGTCAATTTTAAAAGTTTATTTTGTTGGCCAGGCGCTGTGGCTCACGCCTGTAATCCCAGCACTTTGGATTGGAAGGCAAGGCAGGCGGATCAAGAAGTCAGGAGATCGAGACCATCCTGGCCAACAAGGTGAAACCCCATCTCTACTAAAAGTACAAGAATTAGCTGGGCATGGTGCCACGTGCCTGTACTCCCAGCTACACGGGAGGCTAAGGCAGGAGAATCACTTGAACCCTGGAGGCAAAGGTTGCAGTGAGCCGAGATCACGCCACTGCACTCCTACCTGGCCAAAGAGCGAGACTGCGTCTCAAACAAAAAAGTTGGCTGGGTGCGGTGGCTCACGCCTGTAATCCCAGTACTTTGGGAGGCCGAGGCGGAGGGGATCACAAGGTCAGGAGTTTCAGACCAGCCTGACCAACATAGTGAAACCCCATCTCTACTAAAAATACAAAAACTAGCCGGGCGTGGTGGTGCGCACCTGTAATCCCAGCTACTCAGGAGGCTGAGGCAGGAGAATTTCTTGAATCCAAAAGGCAGAGGTTGCAGTGAGCCGATATTGCACCACTGCACTCCGGCCTGAGCGACAGAGCAAGACTGTCTCAAGAAAAAAAAAAAAAGTTTATTTTGCCAAGGTTGAGGACGCATGCCCATGACACAGCCTCAGGAAGTCCTGACGACATGTGCCCAAGGTGGTTGGGGTACAGGTTGGTTTTATACCTTTTAGGGAGACATGAGACATCAGTGAATATATGTAAGAAGTACATTGGTTCTGACCAGAAAGGTGGGGACAATTCGAAGCAGGGAGGGGACTTCCAGGTCACAGGTAGACAGGTAGAGACACAAACAGTTGCATTCTTTTTAGTTTCTGATAAGCATTTCCAAAGGAAGCAGTCAGGATATGCATCT